CCTTCCAGGAAACACACAGTCAGGCAGGCGAGCTCAAACATTATCAGGGAAATTAGCTTATTGCTTGAATTGTAGTGGATCAATGAATTTATTTAGGTGAAATTATCTCTGTCAGCAGGTGAAGATTCCAATGGAAATTTCCTCCTGAAAGAGGGAGGTGTTTTTTTTCAGTTGCCATTCCGATCGATGTCCATGTTTCACGTCTGTTCGAATCTTTTGGAGTAAAATCCTCTCCACTGTATATGTGTGCAACGCCAGCATTACGTTTTTCTCTGTAACCTTCATCCACTGGCTCCTGGTCCTCGGTGCAGGAGGCAGCTCTGAATGTAATGTATGGATGAAAATGCCATCCTGTCCTCTAACCCTGTAGCAAAGGAGCATTAGCATAAAGCACAGCTGAGCCCTTTACTAAAATAAAACAAAAGTATGGATACAAAGATGCAACAAAGGTTCATAATTTGAAAAATGCAAAATCAACAGAAATGAATAAAGAACTGAAGGAAAAAGAAATGTGCGGGTCAGGCCCAAACAGTAGCTAAAGTGGAGGATGAGCGAACAAGAATGAGTTTGTTTACAAAACAGGCAGCTTCCTCTTCTACTACTAAAGCTTTGCTGGAAAATTAGACAGTTCTGCTCAAATTATTTGATCTGATCGGATGCTTGGTATATTTATACAAACACCATGATTGGATCGTTGTATTTACTGTCCTTGCAAACAGGGATTTTGGATTTCCGATCAACCAAGGTTTAGATCGTATCGAGGAATTATGCACATGTAAATGTAGCTAGTTTCAGTTACAAAAAAAAAAAAGAAAGAAAGTTGTCCAGTGTTAACTGGAAAAAAAAGTAAAAGTTTAATACAGTGTTCCTCTTTCAAGGCAGCATTTCCTTTTACATTTGCAATGGAGAACAGATACAGTCTGTTCCGGTCACACAGGTTTTCAATAAATACTTAGAAACACGGGGAGAGATTCTCAAAGTCAATATAGACAGTTTCTCACAAAGGGAAGCATTTTTTAAAATAACCTTGGGTTAAAGAAGTCAGGCCTCTTAAACTGGGCATACACTGTGCAATATTTTCAATCGTTTTTCAGTCGTTGCACGCAGCTACAGCTCAAACTGTACAATGAAACCGCAGGGTTTAAAAGTTCACAGCTCACGATGCATGTTTTCACATTGTGTGACCCGACACTCTGACACAATCTACGTGCTCACACTGCACGTCTAAAAGCCGCCGAGAGATGGCGCTGGTCGGACTTGTCTATCTGGAAGGAGAAGAAGAAGAAGAATTCTCTTGTTTGCACATGCACAGTGCTCAAGATTCTGGTCAAGTGGCTCGTAGCTCTGACCTGACTCCGCCAGATGGATTTGCTCCGCATATCCATCTGGAAACCTTCCATTGAAGTAATTTTGGGAAGGGG